CAAATTTACTCCTAGGTGTAAAATGTAATATTCTCTGTTTTCAAATTTCTAATTGCACATAATTCCTATTCCCAAATTTACTCCTAGGTATAAAATGTAATATTCTCTGTTTTCAAATTTCTAATTGCACATAATTCCTATTCCCAAATTTACTCCTAGGTGTAAAATGTGATATCCTCTGTTTCCAAATTTCTAATTGCACATAATTCCTACTCCCAAATTTACTTCTAGGTGTAGACTGTGATATCTTCTGTTTTCAAATTTCTAATTGCACATAATTCCTACTCCCAAATTTACTTAAATTTTCACCCTTTCGTTCCCTCCATTCCACCTCTTAAGAATGAAAGCTATCTCTATTGGACCAAACAAAGTATCGTGTGGTGAATAATCAAGGAAATAAAACTTCCGGAAAATCGAACAGCTCGTAGCGAAGAAAAGCTGCAGTTGCGTCGAGAAGAATGGAATTCCGAAAAAATTCCTGTGGTAAAATTTAAACGAACTTCTTACCCAACACATATTTAACGGAAAAAAAAGGAAAAAAAAACTGGCGTGCATCTAGCTAGAATATGAAAATGGATTTCCAAGTGCGTTTCACCTTTCCACCGACAAAAGCGACTTTATATTTATGAATTATGAAAGAACGAAGCAAACGAAAATCCCACAGGCTGAGGAATATTCTTTTAGTGCCACCTAGAAGTAACGACATTATAAACATGCTATATCGTTTCAGAGTTTCGTAATCCGTTGTTCTATGCATGCTCCGTGCATTAACGGGAATATTTCTTTGAATTAACGTCGTTGAAATAATGATTCGATGATCGAATTAATATTGCAACGAGACAATTTCGAGAAAATCATGTTATTGGAAAGTCTAGGATAAGCCATTACTGCAGTGCTATTAATAAAATAATACCATATTCCGTGAGCTATTCGACGTTATCAATAATAGTGTTTGTTATTCATGTTACTAATATATTAAATGTTTACTATTAGTGTGAATATTCATAGATCGATATTGCCTCGATGTGAAAGGAAATAAGTATAAATCAGTATTCGTATATACCTTCTATCGCAGTTTCAAAATATACTAATAAAATCTACAGCAGAATTTTATTAAAATTATATATATAAATAATATTGTTATTAGAAGAAATTCCAAGATTGCAAGACTTGCAATACTTTTTAAGAAATTCATTTCCTATTTTTCACTTGGACTTAACCCTTTGCACTCGACGACTTTTCGGCTAGAGAAGAACAGAAATTCAAAGGTTTTTTACTGAAAAGCTGACGATACTCGTTTGAGCAGTAAATAAGGAATTGTAGAATTATTTGATTTCGATACCTACCATACAGTTACGTTACATTAAATTTGATATATTAATTAATATCGATCTTCCAAATTTTATGAAACGGTGACTGAAGCTCACCTCTCGAGTGCAAAGGGTTAAAAGATTCTTTTATCTACGAACCAATCTTAAAAACAAAATAAAATTCCTCAATCATACAGTCTTCAAACCTCAAATAAGATTTATGTAATCTTCGCTGACCAAGATAACACAGTAATACTTCAACAAAATTAATAATTCGCCCTGAAGAGGAGAATTATTTTAGCAAAATCTGCTAAATCTGCCAAAAATTCCATGATTTTTTATTATGATACTATTTTTATTATAAATTCCACAATTTTTTATTATAATAACGTATCATGGTCAACATTAAAAGAAATTTCTCACGCAACTAGAAACTATTACACTTACTGTATCTTACATAAAATTGGAAACTCGTTAATAGGAGTCCAATGAAGGGGATAAAACAACCACCTTTAGATAACAAAATATCAAATACTGATCGAAATCAAGAAACCAAAGTATACATATCATTCTTGCTCACGTTCATCGTGAGAATTTTTTGAAAATATAAATAAAATAAATACGCAAAATTTACCTTCGAGACCAGCATTCGCGCGAGATTATGCCACCCGAACCGTCTGACAAAACTGAATCCAAGAAACCATAACCAATTCCTGCAGATATGCAGCACACGCAGCAGGTGTATTTAGGGCTGAAAGCTTCCCCATAGAAAGATGCAGGATTCGCCGATTTCTTTGCGAACGACGGTAAGTATCCGACGGTGGCTCTTTATAATCCCAGACAAGGCTCCCCTAGCATGTAGGTAGAGGAACAATACCCGAAACGTAGACACACGGAATACACTGGTAGCCTGGTAGCTGGCTGGAGTGAAGATGGTGGAAGAGGCCGCGGATGGAAACAGCCGGGGGATTCAAGCATCGGGGAGAGGGGGTTGAAACGGTAGGAAGATACTCCTTCGCCGTCTCCGCAGTTGTAATTTATTTAAAACCGCTCGCCGTAAATATATCCTCATCATTTATTCAGCGGCTCGGCAGCTTCTCGGGCTGCAGGGGTGTACGCTTTGCTGCGTTCCTCCTTACCTAGCAGAAGACCGAGGCTGTTCCTCGTGCAAGTCGATTCCCGCGGAACAGGGGCGGATCCGGCATGGAAGGGTGACTACGCTGGAAAGTGGCTCCGCTCCGTCCTTCTTTCAGACCACCGTCTTTCTTGTTTTATAGTAACGCTCTTAGGAACGTGGGATTTAAATTACTCGCGGAGAACGTAATCTTCAGTGGAATTGGTTTCCGCTCCGGCACCCGTATCGATCCTCCAACATCCGATGGATTTCTCGGGTTATCCCCGACGATTCATCGTTGGGCATCGCGGAGATTTTTGGCGAGAAAATGGTTGGTAGGTTGGAACAGTGATTTCTGACGAAAGATTTGGAATATTTTTTAGCTGTGGCTTTAGAATCTTTAATATTGGAGTTAATCCTGTTAAGTCTAAATAAAATGGTTAGGTTAGGTCCAGATTACTGTTTTTGGTTAGGTATCGCGGAGATTTTTGGGGAGAAAATGGTTGATAGGTTGGACCAGTGATTTCCGACGAAAGATTTGGAATATTTTTTAGTTGTGCCTTCAGAATCTTTAATATTGGAATTAATCCTGTTAAATCTAAATGAATTGGGCCTAAATAAAATGGGTGATAGGTCTAGATAACTATTTTTTATTAGGTATCACGAAGATTATTTGGGGAGAAAATGGTTGATAGGTTGGGACCAGTGATTTCTGACGAAAGTTTTGGAATATTTTTTAGGTGTGGCTTTAGAATCTTTAATATTGGAGTTAATCCTGTTAAGTCTAAATAAAATGGTTAAGTTAGGTCCAGATTACTGTTTTTGGTTAGGTATCGCGGAGACTTTTGGGGAGAAAATGGTTGGTAGGTTAGATCAGTGATTTCTGACGAAAAATTTGTAATCTTTTTTAGGCATGCCTTTAGAATTTTTAATATTGGAATTAATTTTGTTAAATCTAAATGAATTGGGCCTAAATAAAATGAGTGTTAGGTCTAGGTTACTGTTTTGGGTACGCTATCACGCAGAATTTTGGGAAGAAAATGGTTGGTAAGTTGGATCAGTGATTTTCGACGAAAGATTTCTAACCTCTTTTAGGTGTGTCTTTTGAATCATTAATATTGGGGTTGATCCGGTTAAGTCCAAATGAATTGGGTCTAAATAAAATGGGTGATAGGTCTAGATAAATATTTTTGATTAGGTATCACGAAGATTGTTTGGGGAGAAAATGGTTGATAGGTTGGACCAGTGATTTCTGACGAAAAATTTGTAATCTTTTTTAGGTGTGCCCTTAAAATCGTTAATATTGGAATTAATCCTGTTAAGTCTAAATGAACAGGATCTAAATAAAATAGAGTCTAGATTTCTGCTTTTAGTTAGGTATTGCGGAGATTTTTGGGAAGAAAATGGTTAATAGTTTCGACCAATAATTTCTAACCGAAAAATCGTAATCATTTTTAGGTACATTTTGAGAATCTTTAATATTGGAGTTTATCCTGTTAAATCTAAATGAGTTGGGTCAAAATAGACGAGTATTTAGGTCAATATGTAACTGTTTTTAGTTATATACCAAGATCTTTTCAGGGAGAAAGCGTTTGATAAACTGGGTGAGTGCTTTTGAAACCAAGATGTTTAAATATGTCTTGAGAATTTTTAATATTGATGTCAATCTATAATACTAAGTCTAAATGAGTTGGGTATAAATAGAACGAGTGTTAAGTCTAAATATGACTGTTTTAGAGTACAGTGGATATCGCTTTGGGGAAAATTTTATATCGGGGATGATAGTTGGTAAAGGCTTCATCAGGTATCGCAGTGGTTTTTCAAATATCAAAAAATTTTATATCGGAGATAATATGGTTGGTAGGTTAAATCAGTGGTTTCTAAATAGACTTTTGCTAAATAAAAGAAACTTTAAGCATGTCTAGGAAATCTTTAGCACTTAGTACTGA